ACTCCGCTTCCTCCCGTCGTCGCCTACTTCGTCGTCGCCCCCCCGTCAGCGTCGTCGCCCCGCGCCAGCGGGAGGCGCCCTAGGAGTCAGCTAGGCTGCTGCATATGCAGAGTTCTCTTCAACGAACGGCAACAAACGTAACTTGAAAAAAATCGCATCTCCCCACCGCAATCGGTGGCATGACTGGGCTATGCCAGAAATGACGGCGTTCAAGGACTCGTCATGGAAGCAACTGAAAAATCTCGGGTTCCCGAAATGTCGGATACCTATTGTCAAGTGTGCAAACATGTGATGTTTGGGCACTAAAGGTATCTGCGTTGCCTCTGCCAATGAGAGGTGGCGGAGGCAGAGGTCCAACAGCTTTTGGCACGTGCCTAGGGGCACCACTCTGGGGCTCTCCCTAAGTATAGCCATGTACTCTAGTAGGGCACCACCTGCATGTTTCAAAACTGCCCCATTGGCCAGGGCACCTTCCTTGCGACTACACAGATCTACAGCCCACGCGAGTAGAACACCAGTTTCATGTGCTTTCAGTTTCAAATCTCTGGCCTTGTCACTACCCAACATACTTTTGGTCAGGTGGTTCAGCCTGTCCCCGTGATCTATGTTTGCTCTAGAATACCAGGCCTTGATATCTACCCATATGTGTTGGACGCCACGGCTCACCACGGCCTTCCTCGGGCCGTCGACCCTCCAAACGTTCGAATCCAACGACGCCCACATCACGAACATGACGTATGATTGCAGCACTCCTAGATACACCGTGTGTAGCATGTCTATGCGCATGGTGACGTGAGGCGAAGCACCTACCTCAGCGCAAAATATAGGATTGCGCTTGAGAACTCGGTCATTGATTCGATTACCATCCCAGCGTCTCCTCCAAAAGGTAACTCTGAATGGTATAGGGGTTGTCTCAAAGTTTGCAACGTCTTGCAATTCAGGTCCTGGATCAAGCCTGTCCCATTTCTTGAGAAGGACGTCACCTATCATGACATCGCGCTCAAGTATTCTACCCCTAGTTTTGGACCTGTCGAAGTGCAAGCCACCATCACGCATGATGGCGCGCTTCTTAAGCTCGGAATCCACCACAACCTGGAATTCGCAAAGTTGACACGCAGCCTCGTATGCACCAGCCTGAAGGTCACCCCAAGCATGTCCCAGAAGCGAAATGTTACCAAAGTTGAATCTGCGCCAGCGTGGGGCCAGCAAGCTGAAACCAGTGGCTCGACTTTCCGAACAAAACCTCCCTCCTTGTTCTCCTATTCCTGATCCTCCCCCCGCCCAGCCCTCTCCCTCCCTTCCTCGCGTCCAATCCTGGTCCCTCCCTTCCTCCCGTCCAATAGGCTGGTCCCTCCCTTCCTCCCTGGTCCTCCTTTTCCATGCTTCCGCAGTCCGCCGCCCCCCTCGATGTTCGATTGGTTTGGGTATTTGTCGGGGCTGCGCCAGCAGTCGCATAGATCGGGCTTGTTCGCACCACAGAATATGCACGGGAAATTATGACTAGCCCACGTCGGCAGACCAAATGATGTTGTGTGTTCAGACCAATCGCCAGTAATATCTACCAGCAAGAAACGGGCTGGCAGCCTGGGCTCACTCTCCGACAGCAGCTTGAGTGGGTCGTCATCTGACATTGCAGAATTGTCCCAATTCCGTTGGGGCCGAATCCCGCTGGCGAGACTCTTCAACGTCCATGCGATGAAATTGAAGACAGGCCGTAAACTGCACCACCCCCTGCACCCACAGTCACACGTCTCCCTCTTAGACAATGTTCCCAGGAAGTGCCTCTTAGAGGTAGCTAAATTGTGCACCGAAAAATTGCATAGCGAGTCCCATTTTCCAGGGCCGATACTCCTAGTGAACCTGACCCCATCTAGATATAGTGCCAGCGGGTAGCATGGTCGAAGGTCACCTTCGATATGACGGTGAGGGTGGCCCTCGAAACTTTTCGCCCAATAGCCTTCGGCTTGAGCTGTGTTCATATACGATGTTTGCACCTCTAGCGCCAAAGCCTCATGCAACGCAACGAATGGAACGACTTTCCCCTATAGGGGGTGCCGATGGGGAAACGGGGCTCGTTAACAATTGTTGCCCCCCCCCCCCCCCCTCTTGAGGGGGGAGGGGTATAAGGGCTTGTTGGGTTTATCCCTCCGTCCTCCTCCTCCCGTCGCCCTCGAACCCTTCCTCAGCCATCCTTTTGTTGGCCCCGCCCGTCCCGGCGCTGCCCTCGCAGCAACAGAGGAACCTTAAGACTGCAATAGTGGACCTTACATTCTTGCGGAAGAACAGCCTCTAGATGTCGCTGAAAGTTCCCGTCGCTGGTGTGCGAGTGGTATGACAATTTCCCCAATAGTTTACCAGATGCACCTGCCTCGCGAGCGAGTTTTGAAATTATGCACGCGTCTTTCCCGCTTAGTTTCCCCAGGGCGTACATCCGAAGTAGATAGTTGGCTAGCTCATCACCTTTCCGCTCCTCGGTAGCCAGAGTTCCCCGTTGGCCCGAGCGTTCCCATGACGACGTTGCTCCAGAGCTCTCCCAGCTGCGCAACCTAACTGGCCGTACAGGCGAGGGATCCTTGCGTGGGCGTTTTTGCCGCCCCTGCGGCGGCATGAGAAAGCTCTGCCTCGAGCCAAGCAGCTATCGCAATAATATTTCTTGTGCGGCCTACTCAACTATAGTAGCACAATGTTTTTTTTTGTTTCTGGAGGTCGAGGGGTGCCAGATGGGGGGTGCCCGGAGGATCACTGCTGGATCACCGCTGGATCACCGGTAGATCACCGCTCGATCACCGCATCGTTTTTTGAGGATGTCTGCAGCGAAATCGCCTGGATCACCGCTGGATCACCGCTGGATCACTGCTGGATCACCGCTGGAACACCGCTGGGTAGCTGCTGTGTTTTTTGTTAGGGCTGTCAAGTTTCGATCCTGAGGCTCGGTCGGCTCAAGCTGGGGGAGGGGGGAGGGGGGATACAGGACAACATTTAGCTCGGCCCCAGAATTCGAGCTGCCACAACTCACGATTGTAATTGAACTCGAGTCTGCAAGTGCGCAGACGTACACCGCCCTAGATCACCCGCACGAGGTCGGCCACTCCGAGCTGTCGCCGCGGTTCGACAGGTCCTTCATCTGGCGCAGCCACACGAGCGCATCCTGGAGCTTCCCGAGCTCCGCGAGGATCTTCATTGACGACTTGTAGCGCTCATCTGCAGGGTAGGACTCATCGTCAATACCGTTCAGGATCATGTTGCTGAACGGGTCCTCGGCGTTGTAGATGTCCATGACCTTGCTGAGCCGCGTCTGCACACGCGGCAAGAAGGACCGAATGGACGCCCACTCCTCATCGGAAGTAGCTTTGTCGATGATTGACCTGTGCTGGCTCAACGTTGGAAAAAATCCTGACCCTCCTCCTCCTCCTCCTCCTCCTCCTCCTCCTCTTCCTCCTCCTCCTATTCCTCCTCATCGTCCTCCCTCCTCCTCCTCCTCCTCCTCCTCCTCCTCCTCCTCCTCCTCCTCCTCCCCCTCTTCCTCCCCCTCCTCATCCTCCTCTTCCTCCTCCTCTCCCTCTCCTCCTCCTCCTCCTCGCGTGACCTGGCGCTCTGGGTAGTGGTGGAGTAAGTGTTGAGCACGTCCTGAATCGCCTTGGTGAACGCCTTCCCCTCGGGGACCTTGTCGGACTTGGGTGTCTTCTTGCCCTTGCCAGACTCCTTCTCCTTCTTGTCCTTCGTGCTCGTCTTGTCCTTCTTCTCCTTCCCTGCAGGTTTTCCGACCCTCGGGGTCGAGGGCTTGTCGTTGCCAGTGTTCCCCGTGCTCTTCTCGGTCTTGAGCGGCGCCTCCGTGGCAGTGCGCAAACCCTGAGTCTGCGGCGTTGCCTCGGCGCGCGTGGCGGGATCGTCTCGATCTCGAGGCAGTCCAGAAGATGCTGCTCCTGTGCGCTGCTTTTTGCCGTTGTGCTCCTCGGTGATGTTCTGGTAACTCTTCCTCATGTCCAATATGCTCCGCTTCGTCCTCCTGGTAAATTCAAGACGGCCTGAATCGGGGTTTATCGAGACGTATGGCGGTCCTTTGCGAATCATGTTCCGCGCTATGTTAAGCGCCCCCTGCACCGCACTCGGTCGGTCGAACCCGCCCTCCGCTTGAATCAAGGCGTCGAGGTTCATGGGCGTACCGATGATCTGATCGGACTCCACGCGCTCCTCGATCAGCTTCCTGGTCTTCTCGAGGTACTGGAACCGCGCCAACGCCCAGTCCTGCCGCTCCTTCTCCATGTAGGAGTTGGAGCCGTTGTCGTACGCGAGCACCTGCTGCTCGGTCCAGTGCTTCTTCATCCACCGCTCGAACCGACTGCCGAGCGCCGTCCGCTTCTTGAACTTGAAGCCCGTCTTCCGAGCCTCGTCCAGGAGGCCCCACAGCACGGCGTCGTCCCCGTCGAGGGCGGCCACTGGTGCACCGTCGCCGCCTTCAGCATCCCGCCAGCCCTGCGCCTGGAACATTGTCATGAGCTCCTGCTCGAAATCGCGCGATGCCATGAACTTCTTTGCGCCGATGTTCTTGATCTCTAACTCCAGCAGCGCCTGCGCCTTAAGCATGTCCACGGGTCCCTCAGCTTCGACGACAACTCGATCATGTTGATCAGCTTCATGACCAAAGCGCATGTGTTCTTCTTCTGCATCGATGTCAGAAGCTGGACTTGCACCTGGCGCAGCAGGTACAAGGGGTAGCTCATCCGACGAAGGAGGACCGTCCATCATTCTGGTACGCCGCACCTTGCTGGCTCAAACCGAAAATCCCCCTTCTCCTCCAGAGGATCTGAGGAAAGGGGGGAAGAGGAGGAGGGGGAGTAGGAGGTGCTTAAGGAGCGTAGGTGGAATGTTGTAGACGGTGTTGTTAACCCCACCTTTCGCTCATCCACGCCAACGGCCAGTTTACCCTGCTGAGCCGCCTCGTCCTTATGAAACAAAACGTAAGCATAGATCTGAGGGGAGGTTAGAGAGTGCAGGAAATG